CTGCAGTTTGACTATGATATATTTGGATTTGAATTCACTGATTCTTTTGCCAATTCAAATCTGTTGCTGAGCCCTTCTAGTGAATTTTTAATTTTGTTGATTGTACTTTCAACTCCAAAATTTTCATTTTTTTGGTAATTTCTTTTTATTGACATTTTCTAATTGAGGCCGGGTGCAGTGGCTTATGCCTGTAATCCCAGCACTTTGGGAGGCCGAGGTGGGTGGATCACTTGAGGTCAGGAGTTCGAGACCAGCCTGGCCAACATGGTGAAACCCCATCTCTACTAAAAATACAAAAATTAGCTGGGTGTGGTGGTGGGTGCCTGTAATCCCAGCTATTCGGGAGGCTGAGGCAGGAGAATCGTTTGAACCTGGGAGGCAGAGATGGCAGTGAGCCGAGATCACACCATTGCACTCCAGTCTGGGTGACAGGGTGAGACTCCATCTCAAAAAAAAAAAAAAAAAAAAAAAATTTGTATATGGTTTCCCTTATTTCTTTGAACATATTCGGAATTGATGTTTTGAAGTCTTTGTGTACCAAGCCCTGCATTTGATCTCCTTCAAAGATAGTTTCTATTAACTGTTTTTATTTCTGTATGCTTTGCATGTGTCGTAGTTGTTTGTTGTAAATTGGACATTTTGTTTAATATATTGCAGCAACTTAGGATTTTGATTTCTTCTCCTCCAGGAGATGGTTGTTGTTGCATGTTTGTTTATTGATTTGCCTCTACTAATTTTGTGATGTCTGTTTCGTGTGCCCTCTGATTTCTCTGCTCATTAAAAAAAAAAAATTCTCTTTTCTATTTTTAAGCCTGGCATTCTAGGAATTTCACTGGGTTACTATAACTTAGTCATCAGCCAGTGATTGGAGATTGTTTAAACCTTTGAGCTAGTAAGGTATTTACTCTTTGACATGGGATATATACATTTACTGGGTAATACTTTCGAAGTCAGGAGATTATAAGTCTGATTTTTTTTTTTTTTTTAAATTCTCTATGTTCATGAGGCCTCATGGTTAACTAGAAATGAGTAGTTTGCTGGTTACTGCCCTCTCTTTGTGGTTGCTTGGGGGATTGTATCTGTATATCTGGTGGAACAACAGATATACAGTCTTCTGAATAAGTGCATTCTTGCATATGCGTACAACTTTCTAGACTACCAGTAATATATATGTGAGACCTTGGCAAAATCCCGTTGGGCTATATCATTTTCCAGATTTCTCTGTTAATTTTTGGACTGATCTGCTGTTTTGTTGCCTGACCCAAATTGTATTGTGACCTTATGCTAGCCTTACTCTTATTGCTGCTGAGCTGTCTGTTATTTTTGACAACTTTGTCCTTTTTGTCATTGCTTTTTGGGGAGAGGATTTGCCGAGCTCCTCATTCAGCATTCTTGAAGTCTTGTCACTTATGTGTATGTCTGTGTGAGTGTGTTCTGATAGTAACAAATATGTGACATAAAATTTGTCATTGAGGCTGGGCATGGTGGCTCGTGCCTATAATCCCAGCACTTTGAGGGCTGAGATGGGAGGATAGCTTGAAGCCCAGGAGTTGAAGACCAGACTGGGCAACATAGTGAGACTCATCTGTGCCAAAAATTTAAAAAATTGGTTGGGTGTGGTGCCATGGGCATATAATCCTAGCTACTTGGCATGCTGAGGTGGGAGAGCCCAGGAGTTGGAGGTTTCAGTGAGCTGATTGTGCCACTGCACTCCAGCCTGGGTGACAGAGTTAGACCTTGTTTCTTAAAGAGAAATGACCATCTTAAGCACTTTTAAGTATATACTATATTACTGTTAACTATATGCACATCCTTGTGGAGCAGATCTTCAGAACATTTTTGTCTTGTAAATCTGAAACTCTGTCTATTGAACCAATGACTCCCTTTTTACCTTTCCCCTGCCCCCGCCCTTGACAACCACCAGTCTACTTTCTAAGAGTTTGACAGTGTTAGATACCTTATATATGTGGAATCATACAGTATTTATCTTTTCATAACTGGCTTATTTTATTTACCATAATGTCCTCATGTTTCGTCCATGTTATGGTATATTATGGGATTTGCTTATTTTTTAAGGCTGAATAATATTCCATTGTATGTGTGTATTACATTTTGCTTATCCATTCATTCAAAAATGGATATTAGAGTTGCTTTTACTTTACAGCTATTGTGATTAATGCTGCTTTGAACATGGGTGTGTGAATATCTCCTTAAGATTTTCTTTTAAATTATTTTGGGTATATACCTAGAACTGGGGTTTCTGGATCATTGTAATTCTGCTTTTGATTTGTTGAGGAACCTCCATATTATGTTCTGTAGCAGTTGTACCATTTTATGTTTCCACTAAGAGTGTATAAGTATTCCATTTTCTCAACACTTATTATGTTTTTGATAATGGCCATTGTTATGACTGAGAGATAGTTCATTGTGGTTTTTGATTTGCATTTCCCTAATGAGTAGTTACGTTGAGCTTCTTTTCATATACTTGTTGGCCATTTGTATATCTTTTTTGTGGACATGTCTTCAATTCCTTTGTCCATTTTTAAATAGAATTACTGTTATTTTGTTGTTGATTAGTCATGGAACTTGTTTATATATTCTAGATAGTAGTACCTTATCAGATAGATGGTTTGCAAATATTTTTGTCCATTTCATAAGTTAGCTTTTTTATTCTTTTTCCTTTGTTGTGCAGAAGTTTTAAAATTTGATGTCTCATTTTTCTATATTTGCTTTTGTTGCCTGTTATGTTCATTTTAAAAGTATCCCTTTTCTCTGTTATTTTATAATACCTTACCTATAATTAGATTTTTGAGATATATTCAACTCTCTTCTGAAATTCTTTGCTACTAATATCCATTGCATTATCATAGATGTTCTGATTTTAGGGATGCATTTTACATGATGTATTACCTAAAAGTTATACATAAATAAAATATTTTAAAGTTGTAGATTTATATATTTCAAGAAGGAAAAAGAATGAAAAGAAAATACCTTTTTTGGTTACCTCAAGGAAGATCCATTTGTTATAACAATCATCATTTGTGTTTCACCTTTTAAACAGTATATATAAATATATGTTATTTATTTATTTTTCTTTCCTCTGTGATTTTGAAATTGAAACTATCTTGCTTATAGTCAGATCATATGTCTCAAAATTCCATGTTCTAATCCAGAAAGTTACCTCTTGTGTTAATGTTTGGTTAGTAGCATTCTGATGACACTAAGTTCTTGAGTTTGATTCAGGTGTCTTTAAACATCTGTACTCTGAGAACTCTGAGACAATCTGATTTATGCCCTTAGACTGCAACTTTGATAGCCATTTTGCAAATGTATCATTGTTACACAAGGCATAGGGTGGGAGAGGTGGAATTGTAATCTGCTCATTGTCCAGTTAGGTAGATAAATAGCCAGTGGAAACATTTTCAGTGCTGATAATGAAAGTGTAGAGGCAGTATTATAGTGGTTAAGAGCCATGGCTCTGGCATAATATTTCTTAATTTTGAGTCCAGGCTCTCCTAGATGTTTCATTTTGGGAAGATTCTTGACCCTTCATGTCTCAGATTCTTCACTGTAAAATGGGGATAATGGTATTTACATTTTGTGGTTCTTAGGAGGAGTAAATAATTGTTTACAAGTAAGGTGCTTAGAATAGTGCCTGGTACATACTCAGTGCTTAGTAAATATTGCTTTTGTTACAGGCACTGATCAATATATAATCTTGTGCTAGCTGAACAATGCTTGAAGAAATTAATGCATTTTAAAAATACTGTGATAATGACAAAGATCTAAAAATTGTGACATTCTATTAGCATAGAGTACTAACAATAAACTTAATAGCTGCCCTTTAAAAAAAAAAAAACCTCTGGTTGAAGAAACAAATTAGGCCCATACTTTTGTAATTATAATAATAATATTTAGCACCTTTATAATGATTTCTCTGTGAGGAAGGTAGTATTCTAAGCTTTATATATTTTAATTGATCTAATATTCAAAATATAGTATTTTTATACAAATTTTAAAGATAATGAAACTGAGGCACAGATACAATAAAGTCTTTGCTGGCTGCAGAGTTATTGGTCTTAATCACTTTGCTATACTGTCTGTATTTAGGTATATTGCTACTGTGTTGCTGAACCAACTAGGTAGGCTAAAATGTGAATGAATAAGCTTAATATTTTTATTAACTTTCACAAATAGAGTTACAATAACTGTAAAAAATGTGATGGGAATACATTTTTTTCTTCGTCCTTTGTTGATTTGTAAACAAATTGTATCTAGAAGTGAGACAAATGAGCATAAAGCAATTTTGGTGAAAATTTTCATGTCTAATCTTTTATCTAATGATAATGGAAAGCAGTCAGAAAATATTTAAAATTTAGGACCAAGTAGTATCCAGTTCAATTTTACATTAGGTGAAGTGGAATACATTTTTTTTTTAGGTTGATCAGTTTTCATTTTGTCAAGTTATTCTCAAATCTCCAGTTGAGCTCCCCTTTCAACTTGACTTAGAATACTGTTCTATTAGTTTAAAACGTATTTTGAAGACATATTTTTAGATGGAGACTTAAAAAATTACATCATTTCAGGTATCTCAAGTACTGCTGCTATATACTGTTGTACTACCATCTATGAGCTTACATCATGTACCAAGTATTATATATTATTTCCATTCAGCAAAGTAGGAGACAGGCCTAGAGTGCTTAAGTAACTTATTAAATGTAACTTGTACTATAAATTATTATTTATCATTAAGTATGGCCTAACAAGGTATTTGATGCTACTTTTTGATAAACAGTAATTCTCAAAATATTTTTGTGTTGGACATTTTATTTCTCTTTTAAGAAAGGAATTTGTACATTAGAATGAAAAATATTAAGCACTAAACAGTAAGTCCCCAAATATTCTTGTGTTGGAAATTTTATTTTTTAAAAAAGGAATTTGCATATTATAATAAAAAATATTAAACACTTACTAACTTATGCAATGTTTTGTGTTTTAAGGAACTGAAATTACCATTCACTTTTTTGAGTGGACATATTCATGAATTAAGGATTCATGTACCATGGACAAAACTGGGTTCAGAACCAGTGGTAATTACCATCAATACTATGGAATGCATTTTGAAACTTAAGGATGGGATACAGGTAAGACATTATTGAACTAAGTTGTTTATGTTAACTAATTTTAGTAGTATTTGACATTTCTTTACCTTTTTGAATATATCAACTGTTACATAAACATAGCTTATATACTCAATTTTTTTTTTTTTTTTTTTTTTTGAGAGAGTCTCACTCTGTTGCCAGGCTGGAGTGCAGTGGTGCGATTTCGGCTCACTGCAACCTCCGCCTCCCGGGTTCAAGCGATTTTCCTGCCTTAGCCTCCTGAGTAGCTGGGACTACAGGTGTGCACCACCACGCCCAGCTAATTTTTGTATTTTTACTAGAGAAGGGGTTTCACCATGTTGGCCAGGATGGTCTCGATCTCTTGACATCGTGATCTGCCCGCCTTAGCCTCTGAAAGTGCTGGGATTACAGGCATGAGCTGCCGTGCCTGGCCTTTAATTTGTATATGCCCTTTTAAGTTACATGATTATTTGCAATGGGTGTTTTTAAATTTGAATAAAATATGTAAAGGTTGTTTTCATACAGATTTTACTTACTTTGTCATAGCTCTACTAGGGACCTTGCAGATTGCTTATTGCTTATTACATCTACAATGAAAGTGCAGCCTAATTGTGTCCAATTTTTACATTAACATTTTTAGATTTTTGCAAAGGACCTGTATGAATTTTTTCTTTACATAATTTTTCTAAATCTGAAGGGAATTTCTCAGGTTATTTTTTGGGAAGATGAAAATATATTTGCACCAAATTTTATAATTGTTTTTGAAGTTTTGGTATAAGAAACTGATTTTTTCTTTTTTCAGATTTATTTCTTCCTTCTCTGACCCATCTTACATTTCTTGCTAGTGTTTTTTTGCAGATGTGTAATATTGGTTTTAAAGAGTTTCTACCAAAAATTTTCCAATCTAGGAAAGCAAAATAGGTCAGGACCATAGCTTATTGTGGAGAATGTTTCCACTTTCACCTTGCAGAAGAGTGGTGTGTCTGTCATTCATTTTTATTAGTTTTTTTTTTTTAATCAGCTACTTAACATTTAACTTTTAGTTTTAAGGAAGATTGGCTATAATCAAGTAAATTGATAAGTATTATTAAAATGACTTCATGTGAATCTGTATGTAGGTTTAACATATTCTAAATGTAACTTTAATCTTTGTGAAGTTAGGGTTATATATGAACTGTTAAAATTATTTCCTATTTTAAGTGGATGCTTTGAGTGTCATATCAACCCACTGGACTCAGATGTTTTTTCCATTTATGAAATCTTTGATTCCAAACATGTATTATCCAATTTAACTTAATATAGTTTCTAGAAGTTAATAGACCAATGTTATATTCTCATGAAAATGAAAAGTTACTTTGTGATCTTCTAATATTTGAGAGATTAATTTAGAAATCTGTGGATAGTTACAAAAAAGTTTTACTTTACATTTATAGTTGGTAATACTTAAATGGTTCTTAATTATTATCTTTTCTTGGAATTTATTTTTTTTTCAAAGTCTGGACTTGGTTATACCACCCATGCAGTGTTCCATATTAAAAGAGGAAAAAAAAAAAAATCCAGACACTAAGTATTTTTTCATTGAGAAGGTGGAAATTTCAAGGCCAGATGTCCTTTAAGAAACACGTTTTAACAGAGGCAAATTACAACTAATTATAGAGGCTGCAGAAAAAGACTTGTAACACATGACTTAGTGCAACCTAGAACTAATACTTGATATTGGACTATGCAGATGGCTACTGCAGAAATGATCAGGTTTCCTGCTTGCATGGTAATTGAGACTTGAATTTTGTGGTGTGTACAGCAAAAGGTTAAATGTCATGAATGTAAACCACTCTCAAAACAAGTATTTTTTACAGATGTTTAACATTTTGGGTTAGAGAGGATTTTCGAAAATTGCAGTTGACATTTGGACAAATTATTTAGCAGTGTACACCCCTGGAGAGTAATGCTTGGGTTTATGCTAGTGATTGGAATTAAATTTTGAGTAAAAACATTGTAGATGAAACAGATTTTAAAATAGTTTATTTTCCTGTTTTAAGCTTTGGTTAGTATAGTATGTAATTAAGCTGAAAATTACGCATGTAGTAGTAAAACTGAATAAGTTTATATTCAAATTATTTCAGGTTACTGTAGAATCACCACGAAGAAAAGATGTATTTTCTAAATAAAATTGGGGTTGGAATGGTAGGTTTAGTGAAGGGGCCTTTTAGAGTTATAGGTACTCAAAGATATGAATCTGTTAAAAAACTATTATATATATGAATGTATTGAAGTATGATTAAAAGGTATGAATATAAGGCTTAAATCAGATAAGATCATTCCAAAAATAAGATATTGTTAAATGCCTTGATATGAAGGCATGTCTTGTTTGTGAAGGTAAATTTAATTCTACCAACATTTATTGGTTGTCTACTCTGTACTGCACTGAAAAGCATTGCTAAAATATTTATATAATCTCAGCAAAAGACACTTAGAAAAAGATTCATAATGATTGTGATTCTAGTGGTCATGGTTTAAATACACTGCCTTAACATATCATTATAATCAGTTTTACTTATAGAGATTTTTAGGATGAGTGGGTGACCAAGTTGTTGTGTTATGTAAAATGAAATCCATCTTGATGTTTACTCTGAATTTTTAAAAATATATTGAAACTTCACTCAAGAAATAGTTGTTAACGATTTCCTATTTACTCTGAGAGACGTATATATGTCAGTCATTGCCCTCACTTTTAAATCTTGCAGAGTTACTACTTGTAAACTGTTTATCCTGTTTTTGATTTCAGATACACAGTTTTTGATTCATGACACATCATGTCCATGCTAATCTAATAAATACTTGTTAACATAGCTCAAGAGCTAAAACATTATCAGTAACTTCCATTTAACTATGTACTCCTCTCCTTTTTCATATTCTTTTTTGTTCAGCCTGTATGGGTCTCATCTGTAAAACAGGACAAGACTTGCTATACAATTTAAAAAATTATATGATTAATGTGCTTTCTTTGATCATTGAATTAAGTCTTGACTGGGCACGGTGGCTCACGCCTGTGATTGCAGCACTTTGTGGGGCCGAGGCGGGCAGGTCACGAGGTCGGGAGATCGAGACCATCCTGGCTAACATGGTGAAACCCCATCTCTAATAAAAATACAAAACATTAGCTGGGCGTGGTGGCCGGCGCCTGTAGTCCCAGCTATTCTGGAGGCTGAGGAAGGAGAATGGCATGAACCCGGGAGGCGGAGCTTGCAGTGAGCCAAGATTGCGCCACTGCATTCCAGTCTGGGTGACAAAGGGAGACTCTGTCTCCAAAAAAAAAAAAAACTTCTTCAACCTAAAGAGAATGATAAAATTGTTTCTAAACCACCTATTTATTCTGGTTTTTGTACCACCTGGAACATAAATGTTAAAATCTCTTTTAATCTAATAAATGTAACTATTTGTAAGGCTGTTTATGGAAATACTTATTTTTCATAAAAAATTTGAAAAGTGGGAGGCTGAGGCAGGAGAATTGCTTGAACCCAGGAGGCGGAGGTTGCAGTGAGCAGAGGCCGCGCCATTGCTTCCAGCCTGGGCAACAAGAGCAAAACTCCATCTCAAAACAAAAATAAATAAAATAAAATTTGAAAGGCATCTTTTGAACATAAAAATCAGAGATTATCTTCTAATAGGAGAAATAGTTGCAGTTTCACTCCAGATGAAACTTATTTTTATGTATATGTTCTTACCATCTTTCTCTTTTTTAGCTTAGCTCCTTTTTTTTTTTTTTTTTTGAGACAGAGTCTCGCTCTGTCGCCCAGGCTGGAGTGCAGTGACCGGATCTCAGCTCACTGCAAGCTCCGCCTCCCGGGTTCACGCCATTCTCCTGCCTCAGCCTCCCAAGTAGCTGGGACTACAGGTGCCCACCACCTCGCCTGGCTAGTTTTTTGCATTTTTTAGTAGAGACAGGGTTTCACCGTGTTAGCCAGGATGGTCTCGATCTCCTGACCTCGTGATCCACCTTGCAAGTTCATTTCTTTACTGTCATAATCTTTTACCACCTTTCTCCTTTTTAGCTTAACTTATTTTAAAATCATTTTTGCAAGTTTAATTTTATTTCTTTACTGTCATAACCTTCTGATTGTTGATATGGCTGTTTAAGATTACAAAAATCTTCTGTTTGAAAACCTAAGGTGATTTTATTCTTTTATCTCATGTACCTACAAGTTTAGTTAGATTTTAAACAAAAAAGTGAAAATATTTGTATCTGTGGTATTTTAATTCAGAGAGAGTTTTCTGTTTCCCATAAGCACAGATACCTTTCTTAAACATTTTAAGTCAGAAACCAGTAAGCCACTTTTTGTTTGTTTTGTTTCTGTTTTTGATACTGGGTCTTGCTGTGTTGCCCAGGTTGGTCTTGAACTCCTGGCTTCAAGTGACCCTCCTGCCTTGGCCTCCCAAATTACTGGAATTACAAGCATAAGCCACTGATTTCCAGTATTAATAAGAAAAAAATTTTGGTCCTGACAACCCATAGATTTAGGTGACCTGATCAATAAGTGATATGTTATTACTCTTGACTGTGGTATTTTATATCAAATTGTTTTTATAGTTTCATCTTGTAGTTTATTTTTGTTTTCCTAAAAAGTCTGTGTCAGTGTAATTAGACTTAAAGATATGAGGCAGCTGTTTTGATTTGAATGGCTAATTTTGACGAAGGGCTTCAGAATTATTTTTTCCACTGTAGTGCAGGCAAATAAAGCTTTCTTTGATTGGATACCAGCACCTATCTGCTCTATCTAGCAGAACTTTTCTGGGATCTAGAGAATTTCCATACTTTCACAGGACAAAGTTTTTTTTTTTTTTTTTTTAAATTTTGTTTACATTTAGGTAGGATTTTGTATTTACTTGATGGTCATTTGTTCTGGCCATCAGTGTGCTCTGTTTACCATCAGGGATTTCATGGATTTACTTGTAGAAATTTTACATGTGATCATTAGAATTTTAAGTGCTGATTATTATGAATTAGTACAGTTGTGTTGGCA